GTGGTTCCATTGACCTCTTCCGTGTTCTCTTCTCTAGGACATCAGTTGTGGATGCATTTGGAGGGTCAGTTGTGGATGCATTTGCAGGGTCAGTTGTGGATGCATTTGCAGGATCAGTTGTCGATGCATTTGGAGGATCAGTTGGTTGATGCAATTGGAGGATCAGTTGTCGATGCATTTGGAGGATCAGTTGTCGATGCACTTGGAAGATCAGTTATCGATGCATTTGGAGGGTCAGTTGTCGAGGCATTTGGAAGATCAGTTGTCGATGCATTTGGAGGATCAGTTGCCGATGCATTTGGAGGATCAGTTGTCGATGCAGTGGTGTTGCCATGCTGAATAACTATCTTTTGTGTTGTGAGTCGTTCCATGACCCGACAAGGTTTCCTCACCAAAGTCGTTATTGTCCCAAACAGGGCCGCCGAGAGGTTGGCGGGGGCCCGGGGCAAATTTTTTTTTAGGGGCCCCTCTCTAAAAAATTTTTCCCGGAAAAATTTCTTTCCGGACTTTCCTTTCCTGGTTAGCTAGTGCAGTGTCATGGTTCAACGTAACAGAGTGTGAAACACGATGGCCAAAACCGTTCAACAAGCCGATCAACTGTGCAGATCCTGAGAGGTGACGAATAGCCATGGCTAGTGACATGTGTTTTGGCATCAACTTCCGTCCTTTTGAGGCAAGGGAAATGATGTCTTGTGAAATAGACAGAAGTTTCTTATGAGTTGATGGAGTTACTTGAACAAATTTCTCAAAATCTGGCTCTTCTGATGCTCCAACTGTCCATGCGATGAAGTTGTAGAGGCTGCATGGAACTAATGTTTCTGCAGGGGTTTTTTATTCCGGTGTTCTGAAGTTGGAGGCCAGGGCATGGTTGGTTTTACATCATTTATGATATTTCTTAACTTAAATGCTGTCATGTAGCTGTCTTTAAGTTCGTTTGTTTGGGCATCGAAGATGTTACTCTGTTTGGACGGTGTTGGGGCTTTGACGATTTCATTCGTCGAATCTTCCTCTCTGTCTGCAGTGATTTGCATTGCATCTTGAAGCAATTCCTTCTCCTCTACAAGTGCAGCTGTCGAAATGTCATTAACATATACTATTTCGCTTTGCGATCTCATGCGTGGGGTAATGAAACACAACTGAGGAAATGTCTTCATTAAACGCGTCTTCAGATTGCCAGTTTTGTAGGAATCTGCTTCTTTTCCATGTGTTAATTTAACCTGTTTGATGAACATGTCATTGAGTGTTTTCAGTCTCGTTATATCTTTGTTTTCAATGATGCTGGATTTCACCTTCTCACGAAATACTTCAAATGCCACTGAATAAGATGTATCATTCTTGCTTGTATCATCAGATTGTGGTTTCGTAAGGTAGCGGGTGTAATCTTTGTAGCAAGAATTGTGATACCTTACCTCAATAGCCACGCAATCCTTATCCTTGATCTGCATGAGCAGGGTTTCATTTTTGTTGTCCTCTGCTGCTTGCTTCAAATTAACGGCATCTATAGTAGAACATTTCACAAGATGTTCCTTTTTCCTTTTACGAATGATTCGGCATGTGATCGTCTTTTCTTTCTGACAAAGAACGCATATGTTCGGTAACACATGCTGTGATCTAGACTGCATTGTAGGTCGGTCAATGCTGCATGGAACGTTGCGCCCGTATCTTCTCTGGTTTAAGATTATCATCTTGCACCTGTTCACAGTTTAGAGGATCCGTGTATCATGCTGCAATTCAACAGAAAAAAAAACTCCGGATGTGGCATAATATAAAAGTTTTAATCGTTAAATGGACAAGCTACATGTTGCATAAAGAATTGAAGGATACATAATTTTAATTTTTGGTGAATTGAACATTAGTCTGCTAGTAAAATAAACTGCCTGTAATGATCAGTCCATAATTAATATTTGAATTCATGTGTGGTAAATAAATATTGATTAAAGTACTTTGCCAAAATAAGATTAGATTGGTTCAATCTTTACTATTTCGAATCATAATTACCATGAATTTGAATAATAACAATACATCAATAACAATGATACGATTGAAGGATTGGCTGGTATTATTAAACTGGTGATCACAAAAGCTGGTATTCCATTCATGCAATAATTACTGATAATGACTCTCAAAATACATGGTAAATTAAAATAGATGAATTGTTGACACATGTACAAAAGCTTGGAGACAGCATTACTCGAGAAAACAGGACTGATATAGAATTAGTTTTATCAGAAATCATAACATGAAATGACGATAAAACATTGGCTGATAAGGTAAACGAATATAACAAGAGATTAGCCCAACTATGTATAGAACGAAATTGATGTCTTATCAGGAACAATAATATTGACGTAAACCATTTAAATAAATACGGACTGCACTTAAATAAGCAGGGTACATCAGTCTTAGCAAAAAATATAAAGCAATTTCTTAATAGGAATGGACCATTCCCCAATTAACCAAAATTTTGAACTCACAAGTCTAGACAAAAATTTCATCACAGCTTGAAAGAGCATCACAAAATTAGTAATATTCCAAAGTTTCGTTGCGAAAAGTTGTAAAATGCGGATAATATAGCCTTGCGAAGTTTGCAATTTTCAGTCATTTTAGATTACAAACGGGAAAAATTGCGATATAATGGCAAACAATCCCACTCATCATACAAAAAGGTTATCCGATCTGATGAGTTTCAGCTAAAGCACCACATTACAAGTCCGACTAGAATAACGCCAACATCTATAACATTAATTGACATAATAATGACTAAAGCTAGCGATACCAAAATTATTGACTCTGGAGTGATACATTTAGGACTAAGCGATCACAGTTTAGTGTACATTTGTCGCAAAGTAGGAATACCAAGGACTGAACCAAAAATTGTGGAAACAAGGCAGTTTAAATACTTTTTAATTCATCTGCATCTCAATACGACTTAAGAGGCCGTCTCCGTAAGAACCGACCACTGATTTTTTTTTCGAAAATCAACCTTGCCTCTAACTTTTCTTATTTATTAGACTTAACAAGCATACTACAAAATCACATTCAGAATTTTTCATCTCACGTTATTTCTCGAGATTTTAAACTTTTGTTCCTTAGGGCTTTAATTGGGATCTCAACGCTTTGGCTAACGTAAAAAACCACATCTGTATCCCTCAAATGCACAGACGAACGGCCCGCTTTCCAATTTTTATGTTTATAATGTGAAAGTTAAGGTCTTTGCACGAACATATCAAGCATCTACGCATTTCAAACCCTTTTAAAACGTCTTTTTACACGAGCGTGCTTCAAGGTACTTTTTCAACATGGGTTAGGTCCTCAAAATTACATGTTTTTACGATCGGATTTTGCAAAAGTGGCACTAGCCACAAACTTCTACTTAAATATTTTTTAAAATACTAATTGTAAATTATAATTCCATCAAAACAAAAATTGGGGGATTTTTTCCAAACTATTTTAATCGACGCGTGAAATTTACAATTCTTTGGTGCTCACTGGAAATGACGCTGACAACCCATTCATTAAAAGTTCGCGGATAGTTTACAAATTCAACACATGCTAAAAGTTTTGAACATAAAAACACTGCTTGAGTTGCATAAATCTTATGTAGACCACCTGTATGTTTCAAGCAGCCGAAAACGTTGTTTCAACAGTCGCACCACGCAGGTAATAACGTAATGTAAACAAATGTGTCTATATAATTATTCGCATGTCGAGAAACCTCGCTGCGAGTGAAACATCGTGCATTATAACGCCAAAAAATGCTAAATAAGATCTTGCTAAAACATAAGTGAATCATATTGTAGTTATATACCACAAAGTTTATCAAATTAAGATAAAAAATCAATCAAAAATACAAAATATTCGGCCGTCTATATTTAGGATACTCTGAGTACGTGATTGTAAACAAACAGTGACCCATTGCGTTATATACTAAATTTTAGTATCTAGACAAGAGGAAGGATATCTTTTACCGGCATAGCTAGAAAGAGCATAATAAAATTAGTATAATTGCAAAGTTTGGTCGCGAAATGTTGTAAAATATCGAAAATAAACGCTCGCGAAGTTTGAAAAATTTGTCATAAAGGCTATAGTTTTGTATTTATGTGTGGCCAAATTGATACCGTTTTGAGAACAGGGTATCGATTTTCGCCGCGTAATAAATATACAAAATTTGAAGTTATACTAATTTTATGATGTTCTTTCCAGCTGTCTATATCCAATTTCGCAATGGATCCATCTATATCTAAATAATATTTGAAAATATCTTATTTCAATAAACTACACTACAGCTATAATATATTTATAGAAAAATTGGGTCTTTAAAAAAAGACTGACCCAATTTTTGGACCCAATTTTTCTATAAATATAGCTGTAGTTTATTGAAATAAGATATTTTCAAATATTAGGGAAGCCTCACATATCGATTTTGTCCATGAGAAACGTCATATGTTCGTTTCTCTGGAGACCCCCCCTCCCCCACTTAGAAATGTCACACATAGTTATCGATATTTTGTTCTTATAGTACACATAAGGTAATTTTCTACTATTTTTTCGGTCGGCTATTGGCGATGCTTCCGCGAGGAATATGTCATCTGCTGACGTACTCTTTTTTTATTAATATATATGTGAACTTCAAAATTTCCAACGTTTCTCAAAACAACTTTTTTTGCATAAAATATTGATAATTTTAGCACGTATTTCTTGAAATTTGAGTGTTTTCAATGCAAGGAAGGCGTAATAATATAAATGTAGCTATAGGTATAGAACAGGTATGGTATTACGAATATATAGACTGCTGTTTGTATCAAATTGTTTTCTTTTTTATATTCTGCAAAGACAAAAACTATCGATTTTTTCCATGATGTTACGTTTACAGAGAAACGTCACAGCTGCCAACCCCCCACCCCCACCCCCAAACGAACATATGACGTTTCTTGTGGAAAAAATCGATATGTGAGGCTTCCCTTATTTAGATATAGATGGATCCATTGCGAAATTGGAGATAGACAGCTGGAAAGAACATCATAAAATTAGTATAACTACAAATTTTGTATATTTATTACGCGGCGAAAATCGATACCCGGTTCTCAAAACGGTATCAATTTGGCCGCGTATAAATACAAAACTATAGCCTTTGTGACAAATTTTTCAAACTTCGCGAGCCTTTATTTTCGATATTTTACAACATTTCGCGACCAAACTTTGCAATTATACTAATTTTATTATGCTCTTTCTAGCTGTGCCGGTAAAAGATATCCTTCCTCTTGTCTAGATAAAAATTTAGTATATAACGCAATGGGTCACTGTTTGTTTACAATCTCGTACTCAGAGTATCCTAAATATAGACGGACGAATATTTTGTATTTTTGATTGATTTTTTATCTTAATTTGATAAACTTTGTGGTATATAACTACAGTATGATTCACTTATGTTTTAGCAAGATCTTATTTAGCATTTTTTGGCGCCGGTTATAATGCACGATGTTTCACTCGCAGCGGGGTTTCGCGACATGCGAATAATTATATAGACACATTTGTTTACATTACGTTATTACCTGCGTGGTGCGACTGTTGAAACAACGTTTGCGGCTGCTTGAAACATACAGGTGGTCTACATAAGATTTATGCAACTCAAGCAGTGTTTTTATGTTCAAAACTTTTAGCATGTGTTGAATTTGTAAACTATCCGCGAACTTTTAATGAATGGGTTGTCAGCGTCATTTCCAGTGAGCACCAAACAATTGTAAATTTCACGCGTCAATTAAAATAGTTTGGAAAAAAATCCCCCAATTTTTGTTTTGATGGAATTATAATTTACAATTAGTATTTTAAAAAATATTTAAGTAGAAGTTTGTGGGTAGTGCCACTTTTGCAAAATCCGATCGTAAAAACATGTAATTTTGAGGACATAACCCATGTTGAAAAAGTACCTTGAAGCACGCTCGTGTAAAAAGACGTTTTAAAAGGGTTTGAAATGTGTAGATGCTTGATATGTTCGAGCAAAGACCTTAACTTTCACATTATAAACATAAAAATTGGAAAGCGGGCCGTGCGTCTGTCCATTTGAGGGATACAGATGTGGTATTTTTACGTTAGCCAAAGCGTTGAGATCCCAATTATAGCCCTAAGGAACAAAAGTTTAAAAATCTCAGGAAATAATGTGAGATGAAAAATTCTGAATGTGATTTTGTAGTATGCTTGTTAAGTCTAATAAATAAGAAAAGTTAGAGGCAAGGTTGATTTTCGAAAAAAAAATCAGTGGTCGGTTCTTACGGAGACGGCCTCTTAATATTGTGTCGTTCACAGTAATGCTTGTTATAGGTGGTGTGTTTGATAATTCAGACAACATTTTAATATTATCCCACCACTTTTGGGGGTCAGCATTGTGTATATGGTTAATTTTGTCTGCATAAAAACGTTGCCTCGCCGTTTTACAAAGTTTTATGACCTTATTATGGTATACTTTGTATTTTTGTGAGTCGTTTTTCACCCAAGCTTGCTGACGCTTTTTAATGGTGTCTTTTATTGTAGAAGTAATCCACGGTTTGTCGTTGGGATGTTTTTTGACCGAGCACATGGGGAGGTAAGAATCAATAGCTTCATGAATTACGGTCTGGAAAGTTTC